TCCGCAGGAAGTTAAAGACCTGGCTATTTAAAAAGTCATTTGACCAAGAAGTGCAATGACTGGCTATTGACCATAGGAATGGAACAACGGTAATGATATCGGATTGTGTGTTGACGATGAGACGATTCGGAATGTAGTAGAAATTTTGTAGTAATGTTGATGTTTTGATAAGATGTTTTTCTGATAATGATGATTTGTAGATTGTTTTGCACTATGTTTTGTAAATTGCACTTGTTTTTCATGTTGTACACCGCAATGAGTCGCCCTTGGGCTGAGAATTGCAGTATATAAGCGTAGTAAATAAATAAATAAATAAATAAATAAATAAATAAATAAATAAATAAATGACGACCCTGATAAAAATGAATTAATTCTGAATAAAGTTTCCCTGCTTTGTTCTGAATAAATAAAAATTCTAGTAAGATCCAGATCTTATGTAAGATCTGGGTCTTAGCAGGTGTGGGCCTTGTGTGGATTGGACCTCAGGACTGCATCATGTAATCCCCGGGCCCAATCCACAAAGCCATCTCAGTTTTTCAGGTTCTAGGAGTCCAAAAAACCTAGAGAGCACCCACCCCTCCCCTTTCCAAACCATGTGTGGCAGCAGCTTTAGATAAGTTTTAGGACCTAAATTTGAGATAGTATCTGGCCACCGAGGAGGGAAAATCTGGGATTTGGGGTCGGCTGTATGGACAGGAAGCAGACGAAAACTGGTTAGTTTTACCTGTTTTTGCCAGCAATTTCCTGCTGTTTTTGCCAGCAATTTCCTGCTGCCAGTGCCCCAACTGGCTAAAATCTCTTAATATAATAGTTCTATGATGTAATTATTATGGTAATTTACAATTTCTAAAGGACATGCCAAAAGAGGTCCCTAAGTCATCAATATCATGTTGAACTGTCAGCATATATTTAGGTCCCTGATTATTGAGTTTCTGGGAAGTAGTAGAAAGAATTGTTTCACTATCCACTGCATGACCTCCTGATTCAAAGGCCCCTTCTACACTGCCATGTAACATCCAGATTATCTGCTTTCCACTGGATTATATGGCAGTGTAGACTCATATAATCTAGTTCAAAGTAGACAATGTAGATTATTTGTTTTGATGATCCAGATTATATGGCAGTGCAGAAGGAGCAAAGCACATTGTGACCAGGGAATGGTTGGTGAAAGCCCAGTTTTACTCTGTTTATTCAGAGTAACATAACTTCAAGATACATTAAGACTGCAAATTCTGCCACAGGCCAATTGAGGCAATTGGATTCAATTATGTCAAAACTAGTTCATGGATTAATTCAAGGATGTGTGTGCTGAAGAATACCAGGAAATTATACCAAGGGAATGTTCAAAATTTTATCAAGGTTTTCTAAATGAACAAAGTAGAGCAGAGAAACAAGTTTGATTCTCATGTGTATGTTGATGAACTATACAAATTTATAATAAAAAGTGATGGGATGCTGTCAGAATGGATGTAAATTCATATAAGGGACTGAGGTTTGTACTGCTTGAAAGGGGGAGATTTTTATGAGAGGTAGTACACCCTGAAGCTGAAGTTATTTTTATAGTTGGCTTTATTAAAAAAGTTCGGAGAAGGAGGGTATGAAACACAAGGTGGAAGTGAGCCACATGGAGGTTAGTGAAAGGATTTCACCCCTTTTGTTCCTGGTGATGGTCCATAAGCATCTTTCTCAAATGTTAAATGCATTCTAAGCTTGAGTGAGAGGCATGTAGCCAAAATACATAACAGGATGTCTCACTGCTGTGTATAAAGAACTGTATCAAAATGACTTTTGAAGAAAGGTATTTAGTATAGCTCCAAGGAGAAAAAAATCGTGGACCTGGGGAATATGGTATTTTGTTGCATATATAGTTGCACTTCTCCCTCCCATTTGGGGAGGGGGCTGTGATTATTGTGATGGTGACCATTACGCGGGTAAAAAAACTTTTTTTCACCATGTAATAGTACATGAAAGGGCGCAGCCATGTGGGTGGGTGATGGTTCACCTGCTGGTGTGGTTGCCCATTGGAAGGAGCACCAGTGCAGTCGAGTGCACCCTCAAAGAGGACAGCCATGTGGGAGATGGCTCACCTGCCCACATGGCTGCTCCCTCGCCAAAAGAGAAAGGAGGCAAGCAGGGAGTGAATTCATCCCCCCTCCCTGCCTGCCCTCTTTCCCTTTTGGAGCTGTGGGGCTTGACTCAGCTGTCAGCTGAGTCGTGTCAAAAAGGCAGTCACACTCAGAAAAGTGAACTAGGGGTGTGACTATTATCTTGTTTTGCCTTCCCCAAAAGGGTGTGTGACTATAATGTGAAGACTATTATGCAATGAAATATGGTAAATTCACAGCTTTGAAACTGAATCCAGGCAAGAGAGGTACTCTTGGTCAGTCGCAAGGCCAAACAGGGTATAGGGTTACAGCCTGTGTTGGATGGAGTTACACTCCCCCTGAAGGCACAGATTCACAACTTGGGAGTTCTCTTGGACTCATTGCTGAGCCTGGAACCCCAGGTTTCGACGGTGGCCAAGGGAGCATTCGCACAGCCAGATTGCTCAACCAGAGTGGCGTACAGGAAGCATACAACACCCTTTACATCAGCTCCACTGGCTGCCAGTCTGCTATCGAGCAGAATTCAAAGTGCTGGCTTTAGCCTATAAAACCTAAACAGTTCAGGCCAGGCTTACTTGTCCGAACATATCTCCCCCATGAACCATCTTGGAGATTAAGATTGTCTGGGGAGGCCCTGCTCTCAGTCCCGCCTCCTTCACAGACACAACTGGTGTGAATGAGAGACAGCCTTCTCAGTGGTGGCCCCTCAGCTATGGAACTTCCTCCCCAGTGACATTAGATCAGCCCCCTCCCTCCTAGCATTCAGAAGAAAGTAAAAACTTGACTGTGGGAGCAGGCCTTTGGAGCACAGTGTAGCACAGTTAACAGATTTGGAATATATGTAATGACCATGGAATGGCTTGGACTATGACTATGGATAGCGTGATTTTAATATGTAATGTAATGTTTTTAAATGTTTAATATGTTTTAATTTTAATCTAATTTAATTTTAATTTTTTGGAATTGTGTGTGTTTTGGGGCATCGAATAATCGCCTGTATGTAAGCCGCCTTGAGTCCCCTTCAGAATAGAGAAAGGCAGGGTATAAATAGAGGAAAGAAAGAAAGAAGGAAATTGTTGAAGAATTGGATTGAGGGAGCTAAAGCAGAACACTGGGAGTTTCAAATCAATTTCATGATTAAAAGTAATGGTCAAAGACAAAACTCCAAGGGATGATGACTCCCAGGCAAAAGAACTGGTTGACTTGATTTGTATTGAATGATCTTTATTAAGCAGCTTCCCAAGTGTGAAAGGACACCATAAAGACAAATATTCTGTTTTCTATAACAAAAGCATGTTTTTTAAAAAAACACTGTAGCCTTAAATAATTCTATACCTGAACTAGCACTTAGCATTTTCCTAATGATCTAACTGTACTACTGTTTAGTTTTCTGCTAGAACAAACACCTTATTTATCAACCACAGAATTTGTCCTTTCAAACAAAGCATCCAAAAATGGGAACAATAAGCCTCAATGTCTTTTGCTGAGAAAAAGCAAATTAATCTTTCTTCTGTCTCTTTAAGGCCACACATCATGACTAGCTCTGCTACAGCGAATGCATTTTAAAATAGGGCAGTGGTGCATTTACAAGAAAGTGTATGGCATTTGTGCGATCTGAGCCTATGCGTGTTCAACTTTAAAGAAGAGCCCACTGAGTTCAATAGCCATTGGTTCCCAAGTAATTATTTCTAGCACCACACAAATATACATGTTGGTTTTTTTTGCCACATTATACTTGCAAAATAGACAAAGCTAACAGCATTCTTCATAATTATTTGTTATAGAAATATACAGTCTTAGTATATTGTATCATTATGTCTGTATAATTATCTGCACTTTTAAATAATTAAATAAAACATGCCAAAAGTAACCTCAGACTTAAATTTATTCTTGCTATACATTCAGAATAATTATTCTGAATAATATTTGTGAAATAGTTTTACATTCTTTATTTTATAAAGTAGTATTCTGTAGGTATATTTATATATACAATTTACAGACTTGTGCACCGGCTTCTCTACACAAATACATTTAGAGAACAATGTCAGGCTTATTTGATTGGGCAAAATAAAATCAGAAATAATGAAAAGATGCCTACATTTTATATCTATATTGAAATTATCTTTAAAATCTGACACCAAATGATCAAATTGTTAAGGATAGCTATCACTGACAGAATTTTCTAAGATCTACAGAAATACTCGCAGGAACATCTCAGCAAGCGAGAATCCAAAAGTGGCAGGCTAATACCAGGAACCTCAATCCATGGTTGATACCAAACGAGAGACTCCCTCCTGGGCACACAGAAGCCTGTGCTCTGCCACATGCACCATGGAGGACCTTCTTATAGCAACACCAGAGGAACTCCAAGTGGCCAGCTACTGGTCAAAAAACATGTAATATAATGCCAAGCTTTTAAACTTTGTGTTTTTTTTTTAAAAAACACATGACAACTGTACCTTTGGTTCACTCCTGATACGATAAATAAATACTGAGTCTTGTTTCTGAAATATTAGTAAATATACTGAAAATTCAGAATATTGAAGAACAGCCCATGATTCTATCTGAATATGTTATCATTTTCCGGCACATGCCAAATTGGAAACGTGCCTAAGCTACACAGAAAAATGGGGAAACAATCCTGAAGTATCCATGGTTAATATTTTCAAATTACTTCCTGTCCACCTCAGTTCCTGTTCTCCTGGTGAAAATGGGCCCAGTCTTCTATTTAAAAACCAGGTCTAATTTAAAATAATAGCATTACTAGGCCATGTAAGACACAGGAATTGTTCAGATGAAAGGTATCTCATAAATAATCATATACAGTAAATCTGATTTAACCGTTTTGTATGTATAGAGAAGCTCTGTGTTGACTGAAACTGAAGGAAAATAAGCTCTGCTGCAGATTCCAGGAGAAACCCAATTGCTTCAGTGCTGAATGATGGTCTACAACAGTAATTCTGTGCCCAAAAGTATCTCTGAGCGTAGCTTTGTACAAAGCCAATATCGCTGTATTCAGTTAACTTATACAACTTCTAAAATAACGGAAGTCTTTTGGGATTTATCAGGGATAAATACACAAAACTAAAAGCCGATGAAAGGCAGGTAAATGGAAATAACACCACTATGATATAAAGAGCTGAATCTGGATTTCAAATAAATAAATGTGCAGAGGACAGACCTCTAAAATGCTGTTCTAGGAGGCAGGGGAACAACTTATGACAGCATGAAATGTAACAATAAAGGAGGGTGGCCAGCAAAATCTGAGGCAATTTTGGAGATGGTCTTATGCAGGCTAATCAAATGCATTTTATTCCTGATGAAGAGCAGGTTTGAATAAAGTTTCTATATTATTATTATTGTTGTTGTTGTTGTTGTTGTTGTTATTGTTATTATTATTTTAAAATTACAGTTTAAAAAACCTGCATCAATATAAGCACTGGTTGCAAAAACTGGTTGCATTCGTACTAAGCACTGGTTGTAAAAACATAGTACAAAACTTCTTAGGATGCCTGCCATAGATGCATGTGAAACATCAGGAGAGAAAGCTTCTGGAACATGGCCATACAAGCCAGAAAACTCACAACAACCCATAGTATAAAATGCCAAATACCTGCCTTTCGTTGCTCTTTGTGCAAAGTGAGCTGACAATCCAATTTTTCTATACTATCTGATCCAAATTATAAATCTATAAAAAGTGTTGATCCAACTAACTATTCTGACACACATTAACCCAGACAAGACATAACATGATTACAGACAAAACTGAAGCTTAATTTGGCAGAAAAGGCTAACAATATTTGCATTCTTTCCAAAAATGGAATTTTACCTTTTTTTGGTCAAGAACTGTACTAACTCTAAAAGGCAAGCATTATGCAGCACTTAAGGTGAACGTGTACCAAATAGTACAATCACTCAACAATTGGCATGTGATCATCTTGGACGTTTGCTGTTTCCATTACGTCCAGAGGATGCACTGGTCAAGGGATTGTGCTGGCTCCAGTTCATCAATCCACCTTTCTCCTTCAGTTCATGTACATACACAATTAGTGCAAAGATCAATTAGGCAAGACCCATATAAATATGACATGAAAGCTCTCAGGGTGACAAACGATTTGGGGAACTATTTCCTTCTCCAGTTCTAGAAAGTTTGAGAGTTGTCAGTTTCCGCGGAGGGTGCTGAGGGCTCTTTCGAAGGTTATCATCCATCTGCAGAAACAAAACATGTGCCAATTCAGATATTAAAGGAAAGCATCTATTACTTTAACTAAGAATGCTTTATGAAGGGAAGATGGGAAAGGCTCTGCTCTCTTCATTTATAAATCCATTTTCCATCTGATCCCTTTTTATAAATCACTAAAGACACAATTGGACCAAAATGCATTCAACTGCTATCATCATGTCTACTTGGGTTCCTAGCAAAGATAAAGAAGATCAGAAAAATGAAAAGAGGAAGAAAGAAAGAGAACCTTTTCAATCAGGTTGGATTCCTTATTGACAAGCTGTGTGAGTTTCTGCAGATTTGCATCTACTGTATCGGGACCCACTGGAGAGACACCTAAATAGCCAAAACACGCAAGAAGAGAAACTGAAGTTAGGAAGAATGACAAATCCTATTTGCAAGTTTTTAATGATGTTTACAGGGGAAAGAAGTCTGATAATTGTGAATTCCTTAACCAATATGGAATTCCAAGTCCTTGTCAATCTCCATTTTATAATTTCTCCCATTTTTTTTATAAAAAAAATAATAATCCCAAAACGCTCTGGAAAAATAATTCTATTAATATTGCTTTGGTGCAAATACAGCCATGTTTCTTTTGAAAAAACCACATGCTGAAACATAAATGAACGGCTTACCCAATAATTTCAGTCTAAAGTAGCAACTCAGAATGTCATCACAGAAGCGGCACAAATTAGGAAGCATCTTCAAATGATCCTGTAACTGGACTTTGGGAAATGGTATTTTGAAAAGAGGAGCAAGAAAACCAAACACGAAGGCATCTAGAGTTGTAGGCCTTGAGATAATAAACATAGGACATGGTTAGCTCAAATTCCATTAGACACTAACTAAAAACAGAGAAGGATATAAAACAACATCATGTTTTTGGAGATTCTTACATTTACATGCAACCTAACTCACAAGGAAACCCAATAATGTATATCTCATATAGCATAGGGCATTATTCATTATTTTCATGATAGTTTACTGAGGGCTGGGCTTTGTCATCTCTACCAAATTGGTTAAAAGAAAAAAAATGACATCCATTAGCAATTTTATAACAGACATATAGTTTGACAGTGATAAAGCAAGGGAAGTTACCATGTTAAAAGTCTGTTTGAAAAGAACTACCACATTTACACATCATAATAAATAACAGTTGCAGGATTGTTGCTACTTTGCTCCTCTTTTAGAAACTAAATAAATCATAGGGCTTCCAACTGTTGTATCTTTATTTCCATATGTGAACCAGGAACTCTAGCTTATCTTGGGAGCTTGGAAGTAACAAAGTACAAGAAATTATTCATAACATGTTACTCTGGGTATATTGTAACTGATTACTAATATTACTTCTTTAAGAATGTAATGTCATGTTGCAATTTTTTGGACAAGTGGTGTTTCCTCATTCCATTAGAACATTAATGTATGGTTCTTCTTGAAGCATTTAAAAATTAGAAGCAATTAAAAGTAATGATTAAGTAATGTATCACTATGGGGAAATATAAATATACATTACTTTTTAAAGCAAAATGGAATACAGTTTTTCTTTATTTTTATTCCACCCTTTTAATTATATAGGTACTCACAAATTGATTTAAAAATAATAATGCTCTAAGATTTCCTCGTCTTTCCCTTGATAAAGCAGTAAGAAGCCTTGACATGTCAAGAAACAAACTGTGAACAAAAAGTCTAAATATTGTTTAGCCATCCTCATTTCTAGTGGGAGCAATTAAGTCAGGATATAAGAAACAGTGGTACGGACAGAAGTTTAGTTGAGGTGTATTTATTGCTCTCTAGTATAGCAGCCTAAAACAATATCAAGTTATGTAAGTTTGGAACAGAGGACAGCTTTGCACAGCACTGTCTGGCGAGTCCCTCTGACAGTGTTACAAAAACACCCTTCAAAATCTGGAGGCAGCTTTGCATTTCAAAAGAACTTTTAAGCTTATTTCTTTTCTTCTTTTTTTTCAATGTTAAAGCATGATAATAATAATGTATCAACGGATAAATAAACATGGGGTGCTTTAAAACTAAACAATGATGCATGAAGGAACAGATGCATTTTTATATGAGCTGGTTTTCAATTCACTAGCATGCAAGTACCAATTTCACTTCTAAAGCCAGGAATAAATCTAGTTCACTATCTGTGAGCTTTTGTTTCTTAATGATGTTTTATTAGCAACTCTGCAGTCTGCGATCATCACAAGTTGAAAACAGACTGATACTAAAAGTAGCATATGAAAAGAGGACTCCCCAACCTGCTAGAATAATCAAAACAAAAATAGGTTTCAAATGCAAGAAGCACTTGGGCACTGATATTTCCATGGTACCTGTGCTGTAAAACATTATCAACATTCTTTACTCACATATTTCCAAAGAAAAACGGTGATGTCCCCAATCTGTGGGACAGAAGATTCAGGCACTCCTTGGCATCTCTGTAGATCTAAAGAAGTCAATATTTATAATCATTAACTTCAAATTAATTGACTTCATGATGGGCAGTCAAGCATCAATGAGAAACAACATGTATCACTTAAAACACATCCCCAGTTACATAAGGTCTAAATTTATAGGGCTAAATACATATAACATTGTTTTGTTGTCCTTAAAGAACAGGTAGACTTAAAGCTCAAAGTACAGGGGTTGCACATGACCCCCTTTGGGCTCCAGTGGGCTGTGTCTCTCCAGCTTTAATTTTCTTAATTTCCTTCATAGGGGCATGAGAGCAATTTTGTCTTACTCCTGGGTTATTTTAGGAGAAGCCTTTTTGAATCAGCAAGTACACTGGGTATAATTTTCAGTTAACTTCCTGGTTCTAAAATACCACTCCCAGATCGGGGAAAAAATGGATATTACAGTAGAAATTTACCATCTTGAAAATCAGGGAAACACGCACTACCACAAAATGTATTTGTATTTATTTTAGCACTACATTTTCAGAGGAGCAGTAATCAAATAAAACATACCTGTGCTTCCACTTCAGCCATACTGAAGAGTGGAGGACCCCCTTTTGTCAGCAAGATCCTATTAAGGGCTTCCCCAGCCATGTTTCTAGGCAGAAACCAACTCAATGGAAATGGAATCCTTGAGGCAAAGCATGGTTTTGTCACTCTGTAGTAATTATCAGCTTCAATCCAGAAAGTGTGCATCTACGCCACAACAATATTAATGTTCAAGAATTACTATGAGGCTTTTCCATTTAAAGAACCAAAGTTTTGACCTAAGTTTGATTTTTTAAACCAATTTTAAATAATCGAAGGAAGGTCTGGAGTTTAACTATCAGATTATTTCATGGCTAGACTCAAAATTCAATTATTAGACTTTTTCTCTCACACACACACATACAAGCAAGCTAACTCACACACCATTCGAAATATATAACCAAAATTTCAGATCACAGGATGGATTTAGTTGACCAAAGACATGCAGAAAAGATAACAAAAAGACCAAGTACTCCATTAAAGGAATCCATTATATATACGTATATACTTGTGTATAAGCTGATTTTTATAGCCCCTAAAAAAGCTGAAAAAGCCCGCTTCAGCTTATACTCAAGTCAAAGTTATTTATCATTTCACTTCATCATCATCATCATTATTTGAAACACAACAAGATGAGTCCACAGCAGCCACTCTACTGGCTATTGGATCACACGTCAGACACTTCCCAAGAGTCTAGGACTGTGTGATGTATCAGCGAATAATGCATGCAGATGCCAGTAAGGTGGCCTTTTGCAGCTGGCAGATGGTAATAAATATAATAATAAAAAATGGTTATAACAACAACAACAACAACAACAACAACCATCAAGGGGACCAACTATTTTAGATCTGATCCTAACCAATAGGGATGCCCTGGTTAATGGGGTGAAAGTGTGATGATCCTTAAGTGGAGTTTTTCTTCAGCAAAAAGGAAGCTTAGAATATGCAATTGCTAGTGATTTAGTTTCAGTTTAATAAAATAAAATAACTTCCTTGTCTGGTCAAATGCTGATTTTAAAGAGATCTGATTCTAGTTGTGTTCACTAATCCCCAGAACCAATACTGTTTTAAATTTCTCATAAAAAGCTCATACAGGACCAAATTTCTGACTATAATAGAACTGTTTCCTCAAGTGGATTTATGTATGTGTTGATTCACTAATAACTGATTAAATCCATCTATTCTAACAAGATTTCAATGATGAATACAAATTTAAATTCTATTCAGTTAGTAAACTAAGCATGTACTTGATTTTGGGATGATGAGACAATGATAAATAATAGGGCTGGGCGGTTTCGTTTCGTTAATTCGTAATTCGTTAATAATTCGTTAATTTTTTCAATTACAAAACGATAACGAACCATTCTGGAGCAATTTTTTTAAAAACGAATTTTTAAATAGTTTTGTAAATGCTTCGTATTTCGTTATTGTATTCGTTTCGTTATTGTTTTGAGGTCGTTTCGTTATTATTTCCGCATGTCTGGGGCAAGTTTTATGGTTGTTTTTTGTTTAATTAGTGAAAAAAAATTATAATATCACACCAACAGTCAACAACAGAGGGAGAGGGAAGCTTCAGAAGTTTTTGGAGGTGTTTTAGCGTATTTCGCGGTCGCGTCCGCCATTAACGAATCGATTCGTTATTGTTTCGGAAATCGATTCGTTAATGTTTTGTAATTTTTTTCACATTTACGAAATTTCGTAAATATCGAACTTTTTAAAAGGAAAATTTTGTAATTATTTTAATAACAAAATGCAAAAAAACCCAAAAAACGAATCGATTTTAGAAACAAATTTTTCCGTTGTTACCCAGGCCTAATAACTTATGATGTTTTAATTAATGTTTAACTGTGTTTTTATTAGTGTTGGTGACATCTAATGGTTGCCAGGTGTAAGCTTTCCCGAGTCCACCTCCGGGGGTGAGAAGAACGGGATATAAATGTCTGAAATAATAAATAAATAAATAAACTTTGGTCAGCAAGAATAACTATCTTACCAAAGCAGGGTGTAGTTTTTCTTCAAGTAGTGCAATATATGCCAGTGTATCAGCTCCTTCTTTTGCAGAGAGTTCATAATCAGCATTATATTTCTGGCAATAGAAAGAAATAAGAGATTAATATATTTATGCAGCGTTCGTAGGCATCTTTTCAAAAAATGAACAAAATAGTTGTCATAATGTTAAAAAGATGTACATTTCTGATTTTTTTAAAACAAACAACAGATAATAAGTAAAATTGTAATCTCAGTGATATAACTGTTGGATTTATACAAACACCTGATTCTAGGCTCAGTGATTTTACCTGATTTCAGACGAAATTAAATTATTTAAGAAAATCATGTGGTCACAACTACATCATACAGTTATTTAATATTTAGGAAAATAAGTGATGGCAAGGAAGCCCTTCACTCTTCTAAAAGATGCAAATGGTTCATGAAAAACATACTTGTGATCCTGTTCAGCTTCTCTATTCCATAAAGAGAATCTGAAATCATGGGGTTTGAGGGGGTACAACTCCACCTTTCACATGGGTAAGTGCACCACAGAGATCTGATTAAGACTTTCCACAGGATCCTTTCCACATTCCAATCAATCTGCAGCCATACTTGAATGTTCTGCCCCTCAGGCATTTTATATTAAGCAAAATGTGTTTTTTGTGCTTAATGTAGATTTCTGTGCTTGAGGTCACGCAGAGCAGGGAGCATGTCCTCCTGATTGCTGTCAGGAGTCTTGATAAATTCAGAGTTAAAGTGCAATGTTGTAATGCCCTATGAAAAGCATTGGGTTCTGCTTGAGTTAGAAGTGCCCAGCAAAGGCAGACATGTGGCTTTCTGGCAGAAAGGGAAGAACAGAGGAGGTTTTGCTTGATTCCTACCAGGATCCACTTTGTAAGCTGATTCCCAGGTACTTACATAGGTTAGATCTACAGAAATACTCTAAGATCAAAAGAAATACTCGCGAAAACACCTCAGCCAACAAGAGTCCAAAAAATGGCAGGCTAAAACCTGGAACCTCAAGCCATGGCTGAAACCAAACATGCGAGTGCAGAGAAGAGCAAACCACAAACCACTTACTGCAATGTAGTCTGAGCCTTGCCACATACACAATTGAGGACCTTCTTATAGCAACACCAGAGGCACTCCAAGTGGCCAGCTTCTGGTCAAAGGACAGTTAGTATAATGCCAAGCTTTTAAACTTTGTGTTTTTAAATACATTACAACTGTACTCTAGGCTTGCTTCTGATACGATGAAGTAAACCTAGGCTAAAAAGACTGCATTCTTAGAATTTAGTTATACTCATAAGAGGGCTTCATTTTAAAGACTTGGTGATAGACTGTCGATTTCTCAGTACACACTGCTTGTTTGCTCTCCTACCTTAACAGGAGAGATGGCAGCCAAGCCCTAGCAAAGGTGTTCTTTCTCCAGAATGTTCCTTAGTCACTGAAAACAGTTTTAAGTACTCTGACTCAAAATTCTTTCACATCCTGATTTTTCAGCTTTCACTTCCTTGATTTTCCAGTCTTCCATGCTAGCCAGCCACTGAATTCCTAATGTTAAAACTAAGCTGGAAGAAATCCTTAATAAATAAAAAGATGAAAAATATATTTCAGTTCTTCTTTATAAATAATCAAAGAAGGAAACAATGGCACAAGTAAGCTTAGCTTTGATCTAATGATGTTTTCAAAATTAAATTTGGAAGATTGTCAGAAGTTATACAATAAATAATATGTAAGATTCACAGGCTACATCTTATTTAACATATTGCTAACATATCTGCGGCAGAGCTCATTCTAAAAATAAATATACCAGTTTAAAATGTATTAAATCCATTGATTACATCCTTTATCATTTATTTGGAAATCTGTAGATATTTCTGAATGTTCTCTTTGAACAAAATATAGGTAGACAGGGATTTAATGACCTGTTAGACATTAAATGACCTGCTTATTAAACCCCTCTCCTTTCTTCCCAGTTTTGAATAGGAGAACAAAATGTCATACCATAAATAACATAAAATCCATTCAGTTCTCAAAATGATCTGCCATGCGGCCCAGGACTGTTGTCATTCAGGAAACACAAGACCAAATCTGTTTGTGACACAGAACTAGCAAAAAAGATTTTGGGATGTGTTAATTAACACTATGCCCTAAATCCAACTAGTAAACCAACACTTATGTAAGTTATATTGATTCCATAAATCTATATTCAGTTATGGTTAACAACTAGATTTAGGATCATATATTCCAACTGATCTTTTCATTCACCTTCTGAGAACTGCTAACACGTTGGAATCTTGAAATGATAACAGATTTCTTACTAGTTATGGTATTTGGTTATGGCAAAAATGCTAATTCTGAGATACCTGCTGAAATAGTCAGATATGGTTTCCTCTACCCATTGGGAATCCCAATTCTATAAGGTTTCTAATCACATGAAGAGCATTTATATGCAGGGCAACCTCCCATACCCAAACTTGTCCTTCTACACATGAAGAGAAGGATGAGGGCAGAGCACGTGTTTTTCCCACCTGGCATGCTGATACAACATTCTTTGCAAATAAAAATATAGTATCACCACTGGCTGGCTTACTCCCAAATCCAGGTTCTGTACTGCTAATATTGCTTTTTGAGAACCTACAGAGCTATGTCCAATGTCTGGATCAAATTTAACTCATACTACTGGCAACTATCCATGATTAGCTTGCCACAGACTGTTTTAATGTACGTCAATGTTTTATGTTTTTTGGCAAAATGGGTATTACAGAAATATTAAGAAATACATATAATAATAAAAGAAAATATGTGTCTGTCAGACCCATACAACCATGAAACCTGGGTGCACCTACACTATAGAATGATGCAGTTTGAGACCATTTTAGTTGCCATGGCTCAATACTATGGAATACTGAGAATTTATGTTGGTGAAGCACCAGCACTTAGGCAGAGACTAAAGACCTTGTTAAAACTACAACTCCCAGAATTATATCATGTTGAGCCAGGGCAGTTAAAATGGTACCAAGCTGCATTAATTCTATCATAAAAATGCACCCCTAGATATTTAAAGCTAACATGTATATTAAAGGAACTTAGGGTAGGGGATTACTTTGTTCTTAATGCATTAATTGAAATCCATCTTGACTTGACGCCTGCAAATCTTCAGTACTATTTTCAGTCCCCAAGCAAGACCTTCTTCAAGAACCCGAAGGTGACAGAACTCTCCCAGGGATCGTAGGTTGTATGGGAACAAGGGTTCTCAGAGAACCTAGGGGTGTCAGCAGTCATGGTTTCATTTAGGTTTCATTTAGGTAAGGTAGGCACAATGTTTCCTACTCTGACAGCTTTGCAATTTGAAGGATTTTGTATATCAAAGTAAGCAGCAGTATAACACATGGGAAGTCAGGCAATTGCACTAATACAGTAATAAACTTTTTTCAAGCAATCACTTCAATATTTAACAGCCATAAGAAAAGTTGTGCATTGTTGAAATCAGTAGATTCCTTTTTATCTACTTTTCTGTCAGAAGGAAGGGATCAACATAGAATAATAGAATCATAGAGTTGGAAGAAACCTATCATCCATTTCTCCTGGAGGAATAAATGAGCCAGCACTACTTCAACCAGTATCTTATAGCAAAGCACCACACAAAGTATAAAGCAAGACCAAGAGAAGTACTTTTTGGACAGTGAGTTTAGTGAAGCCCTTGATAATACTTACAGAGACCCACCTGTTTTCTTAAGAAGTTTAATATTTTTGCTGGCTGAGAAATAACAGTGTCTCCTGATATCAACAATGGCACGCTCCCTAAAAGAAAAGAATCAATCAGGTGAGATCATACAATGAAAAACACCCCAATAATGGCAATTTAACAGGCATTTAAGTTTTCCACATGAGAGGCGATGACTGAACAACAAATAACACAGTGAGAAACTGAATTACATGGTCAGTGTAGACTCATTTAATACAGTTCAGTACAGTGAGGCTGAATTATAGGAGTTTATAGTATACTGACCATATATATTGAGTTACATAATTCCATACTGCGGTTGTTTTGCTCAACACAAGACCCAGTCATTATAAATTTTTTTGCTTGTGCAGAATGAATTGTGTATGTGATGCCTGATTAAAATGTAGCCTAAAAAGCTAATTGCTATTGTATGTCACCAAGTCTTTTGTAACTTATGGTGAACCCTATAATGGGATTTTATTAACAATATTTGTTCATAGCAGATTTGTCTTTGTCTTCCTTTGAGGCTGAGAGATTATTATTATTATTATTATTATTATTATTATTATTACATTTAAATTTCCTTTCCTCTCCTAAAGGAGGTTGCGACTTGCACAAGGACAACCTCTGGATTTTCGCTTACAAACAGAGATTTATTTATGTATTTACTGCATTTATGTAAATCTGCCCTTTTCACCCTTAAGGGGACTCAGAGCAGCTCACAAAAAGGCACAATTTGATGCCACATATACATACACAGGATAAAAACCAACATATACATTAAAATCGATTAATTAAAAACATCTTAAGGCAAGTTAATTAAAACCACACAATCCAAAGAGTCATATCCTTGTTTCCAGAATCAGCCTCAAACCATTATACCAGACTGGCTCTCATAAAAAAGCCAATGCACATATTACAGAAACTAAAGCAGTACCTCTTGGTGCTCTCCAACAATGATCTATAATTTTCACTTTCACTGGGGCACTGGAAAATCTGGCATAAGCCTGCATCAAAGGTTGAAAGATGAACACATTCAATCACAGTATTTACTTTTCATAATTTAGACAATACAGTCATGAAAGGGAATAGTAAACTGGGATGGAGAAACACCTACTTATTCGATTCATAAAACTGTGGCATCCCAACCACTGGGTGCATAATTACATTATAGTGTAATGACATCATGGCTTGCCATTCTCAACACTTAGAATTAATAGAATACAAAGTACAATGAAGTGTAAATTAGTCAAATGACTAAAGGCCCCTCCACACAGCCATATAGCCCAGAGTGTCAAGGTAGAAAATCCCACAATATCTGTTTTGAACTGGGATATATGTATCAATACTGCCACATATTCCAGTTCAAAGCAGATATTGTGGGATTTTCTGCCTTGATATTTTGGGTTATATGACTGTATGGAAGGGGCCTAAGAGAGATGGATAAAACATTACTGATTTCAAAGTTCTTTGAAATGGATTCAGCAAAGGTAACCTTTTTGATACAGAAATGTGATGAGTATGTAACAATGCTGGTGCTGCTTTGCTCTGGATTTATAATAAATAATAATAATAAAACTTAATTTATATCCTGCCCCATCTTCTTGTGGGTACTCAGAGCGGTTTCCAACAACCAATGGCAGACATTCAATGCCGTAAGGTGTTAACAAAACCAAAACATCCCAAAGTATCCAAATCAGAAACATGTCTGACATCCACGTTAAAGTGATAATAAAAAAACATTGCTACAAATTAAACAACAACATAACAAAATTACATTATCACACATAAAACAATTAAAGGGATAAAACAGTAAGATTTGAACTATAAAAGGTTTAAAATTTAAAGGCCAACATTGCCAAAATATCAAGCCATTTCTATTCAATAGTGTCTGTGCTAAATATTCTATTCATCCTCCTGTCTATACGCTTGAGAGCATTAAAAGGTTTGACCTATTTTGAATCTTTTCTAGGGGCCCTTCCACGTAGCCATATAATCCAGAATATTAAGGCAAAAAATCCCACAATATCTGCTTTGAACTGTGTTATCTGAGTCCAGACTGCCATATATTCCAGTTCAAAGCAGAAAACATGGGATTTTATTCAGTTGTGTGGAAGGGGCCTACGATACCAACAACTTTTTTGCACTGAAATTCCAGCAACTTGGAGTGTGTCTACACTGGAGAATGAATGCAGTTGGACTCCTCTTTAACTGCTATGGCTCAAGGCGATGGAATCATGGGAGTTGTAGTTTGACTAGGCCTTTATTTGTTTGTTTATTTATTTAAAACATTTATATTCCACCCTTCTCACCCCACAGGGGACTCGGGGCGTAGCACAGGGGTCCTCAAACTTTTTAACAGAGGGCCAGGTCACAGTCCCTCAAACTGTTGGAGGGCCGGATTAAAATTTGAAAAAAATATAAATGAATTCCTATGCAAACTGCACATATCTTATTTGTAGTGCAAAAAAAAAAACACACTTAAAACAATACAATAATTAAAATGAAGAGCAATTTTAACAAATATAAACTTATTCGTATTTCAACTGACAGTGTGGGCCTGCTTTTGGCTGATGAGATAGGATTGTTGTTGTGTGCTTTCAAGTAGTTTCAGACTTAGATTGACTCTGAGCTAGGGCCAGGTAAATGACCTTGGAGGGCCGTATCCGTCCCCCGGGCCTTAGTTTGAGGACCCCTGGCGTAGCACAACATATATACGGCAAACATTCTGTGCTGGGACATAAAACCATAAATATATACAAACATTAAAATCACTTATATTCACATTAAAAACCATCTCAGGACATCATTTTGCCTCATTGCACTGCCTCAAAGGCTTGGTCCCAAACCAGGTCTACACCATCCTTCTGAAGGTCAGGATGGAGGGGGCTGATCTAATATTGCCAGGAAGGGAGTTCCATAACCGGGGGGCATAACTGAGAAGGCCCTGTCTCTCGTCCCCGCCAAAAGCGCCTGTGATGGTGGCGGGACCGAGAGAAGGGTCTCCCCAGAAGATCTTCGTTTCCGCAGTGGTTCGTAAAGGGAGATGCATTCAGACATGCCTTTAGCCTTCTCTACCAAAGTGTGGCTGGTGCCTCACCAAAACAACAAAGTCCCAGTAGACCATATTAGAGGGGACGTGGTTTTAAAAAGGGAATTTTCAGAGATGTTCCCAATGTCCATATGTCATGACTTACTGCCATATTGGCCTATTTCTGCAGTAGGCCTATGTTTACAGAAAATGCTGATTGTTTGAGAAATCAGTGCTCCAAAGAAGAAGTTACTATTCAAGGATAACAGTATATCCGGACAAAACCAGTTAGCTGATGGCTAGTTAGAATCCCCAAGTTTCCTAGTCGCTCTGAAGCCATGTTTGCAAGACTAACAGATAAGATACAGTCATGGTCAGAGAACAATGGACTACAGTTATGTTATAGTTGTACCATGGTTAGGATCCCACGTGTGCTATAATGTCAATCAAAATCATAAACAAATGAACAACTGTATAGCTAGCTTAGACTAATGAAATTATTTGTCTTTGGGAACCAATGAAAATGTATATTCCATTTCCTATAAACGTTCTGCAGCCCCATTGGGGGTTGCGACAAACCCTTTGACTGCATCCCTGTATGCTTGTTTGTCGTTATTGCCATGGCCACGCAATAAATAGTTTTTTGCAGTTTAAAAGATTCAACTTTTGTGGTGTCCATCCTTGCCCTCCCCATTGGAAAGAGGGCTTCTGCCTTTTTGGGAATTACTAGGTTCTTGTGGGTTTTTTCGGGCTATATGGCCATGTTCTAGAGGCATTTCTCCTGACATTTCGCCTGCATCTATGGCAAGCATCCTCAGAGGTAGTGAGGTCTGTTGGAATTAGGACAATGGGTTTATATATCTGTGGAATGACTGGGTGGGGCAAAGAGCTCTCTGCTGGAGCTGGGTGTGAATGTTTCAACTGACCACCTTCATTAGCATTTAAAGGCCTGACTGAGCCTGGGGGAATCTTTTCTTGAGAGGTGTTAAGATGTGCCTGGTTGTTTCCTCTCTGCTGTTTTGCTGTTGTAATTTTAGAGTTTTTTAATACTGGTAGCCAGATTTTGTTCATTTTCAAGGTCTCCTCCTTTCTGTTGAAATTGTCCACATGCTTGTGGATTTCAATGGCTTCTCTGTGTAGTCTGACATGGTGGTTGTTGGAGTGGTCCAGCATTTCTGTGTTCTCAAATAATATGCTGCACATATCTTTTTCCTAATTCCAACAGACCTCACTACCTCTGAGGATGCTTGCCATAGATGCAGGCGAAACGTCAGGAGAAAATGCCTCTAGAACATGGCCATATAGCCCGAAAAAACCCACAAGAACTGAGTGATTCCAGCCACGAAAGCCTTCGACAATACAATATTTTTTGTTTCTTTGCCCCTACAATATTACTGAGTCATGGCAGTTAAAGTGGTATCAATCTGCATTAATTCTGCAGTGTAGATGCACCCAACAAGATCATGTACTTCAGATATTACCTGCCAGTGTCCTGGCAGTTGTAGTTTGGCGAGGCACCTGCACTCTTAGGCAGGGAAGGCTGAAGACCTTGTAAAACTACAACTCCCATGGAGCCATGGCAGGTAAAGGGGTACCAAAATGCCTTAGTTCTACAGTGTAGTTTCAAGGAGTTCTAATTCGAAATGAAAACCGAGTTCCCCCAAGCTCTGCTTCGCAGGTATAACTGAGCTATGGAAGGATTGCTGCCTTTCCCACTCCATCCAAAGTAAAAGTCCTTCAGAGGAGAGAGCGAGACCCAAATAGCGCTGACTCCCCCTCCCTCCTCCCCACAGTGAGCCTGGCTTCGGCTCGCGCAACCCGCCTAGGCCGCAGTTACCATGACAACCAGGCACTCCACGTGCACGGAGGGCAAGCCCCAATCGCCGCCCCAGCAGCTGAGTTCCATGGGGGACGCCATCTTGAGGCGGACGACCTTTGCCCCCTCAAGCCCCGCCCTTGGCCCCGCCTCCTCCGCCAGTTCCAGTGAGCCACGCCTCCCGGGGGGCGGGACCAAGCCCTCGTGGTTTGAAGCAAGCAACTCTTGTGCCTGGAGGCATCTTGCCATTGCTCCTATCTTCATCTATCTATACCAGTGATTCCGGATTTCAACTCCCAGAAGCCTCAGCTGCCTTGGCCAATGATAAGGCATTCTGGGAGCTGAAGTCCAAAAAACCTAAAGACCAATTTTTAGGGCAATACTGGCTAGCAGTGGTTCCCAAAAGTTGGGTTTTTCATGTTTTTTGCACCTCCAATTCCCAAAAGCCTCAGCTGCCTTGGCCAATGACGAGGCATTCTAGGAGTTGAAGTTTAAAGCATCTGGAGGGCCAAAGTTTGGGAATTATTGCCCTGCCACATGCACCATGGAGGACCTTCTTGCAGCAACACCGGAAGCACTCCAAGTGGCCAGATACTGGTCAAAGGACATTTAACCAACTACCAAACTCACAAGTTTTGTATTTTTCTGTTTGTTTGCTTTGTTCTGTTAGAAATGTAATATAATGGACTGGTTGCTCTGACACGACAAATAAATATAAATAAATTGCACTAAAGTAGGCCTTGGCAAACTTGGGCCCTTCAGGTGTTTAGGATGCCAGGTCTAAAACACCTGGAGGACCCAAGTTGGCCCAGGTCTGGTATAGAGATTGCCACAGATCTGAGATCACAAAGCAAAATGGGAATCCGAGCTTGAGTTCAATGCTAGTCCTAGTATAATGCTGTAATCACCACAATAGACCTTACTTACTTACTTAGGCGATCCCTCGTTGGACGAGTAAGATGGTCTTCCATGATGCATTTCCTTGTGGATTCGTAAGTGGCTGTGGAGCCCTATTCTTGACCCGCATCTTCTCCCACAGTGAAGGCACTGGTTTCCAGGTGGAAGGCGGTCCCGGTCGGGGTTGGCTTGACGCACCTTCCTCCTGGCACCTTTCTCTCACCCTCCACTCGTGCCTCCTCGAATTCTGCAGCACTGCTGGTCACAGCTGACCTCAGCTGGAGCGCTCAAGGGCCAGGGCTTCCCAGTTCTCGGTGTCTATGCCAGAGATTTTAAGGTTGGCTTTAAATCTCTTTGGGTTGAATGAAAAGTAATGCCTCCACCTTCATAACTCCTCAACAGATGGCAGTACTGGTATGCGGCAGGTACTGGCTTGTTCAGTAGACTCTCCTCTACAGTTCCATTTCGGTGGGAAGCCTTAGCATTGAATGGTTGTGTTGTTAAAGTGCAAAGTATGGAACCCTGTGCAGATGGTCGGTCAATGCGACTTTAATCAACGTGCAGTCGTTGAATTCTTGACAGCAGAAGGTGTCACCCCAAAGGAGATCCATCAGAGAATGCAAGCTGTTTATGGTGATTGTGTTGATGTGAGTACTATGCGTAGTTGGACGAGAAAGTTTAAAGATGTTGAGGTGGGAACATCTGGTTTGCATGACAAACAAAGAGTTGGACGTCCTGTGACAGCAACCACCAAGATTCACAAGAAAAAAGGTTGACAGATTGATTCAGGACTATTGTCGTATCACTCAGAAACTTCAAGCATAATTGGCATTTCACAAGAATGTGTGGATCACATTATTGCTTTGTCTGGCTATCGGAAGATCTGTGCACGATGGATACCCAGGATACTGACGCTGGTTGCGGAGTGTCAACTTCTTCCCTGACGGCTTTAGAAAACTTGTTCATTGTTGGCAGAAATGTATCCAATTGCCTGGTGATTATGTGGAAAAGTGAATAGTGGTAGTTAAAGAGCACATTCTAAGGATTATTTCTGTGTTTGATTTATTAAAATATTCCCATCCAAACCCAAGTAACGAAGGTGGAGGCATTACTTTTCATTCAACCCTCATACCAGGCATGGGCAAACTTGGGCCCTCTAGGTGTTTTACATTTCAACTCCCACAATTTCTAACAGCCACCTGGCCCCAAACACCTGGAGGGCTCAAGTTTGCCCATGTCTGATATATGTGCAGCAGGTTAAACCACTGAGCTGCTGAACTTGCTGACCAAAAGGTCACCAGTTCAAATCCGGGTAGCAGGGTGAGCTCATCAGCTTCTGCCAACCTAGCAGTTTGAAAACATGCAAATGTGAATAGATCAATAGGTACCGCACCAGCGGGAAGGTAACAGTGCTCTATTCAGTCATGCCGGCCACATGACCTTGGAGGCATCTACAGACAATGCCGGCTCAGCTTAGAAATGGAGATGACCACCCCCACCCCCCAGAGTCAGATTCAAGTAGACATCAATGGGAAACCTTGACCTTTACCTTATTGATTGATCTTATGTCGAGGGCAGGAACTCCCATCATGCCTAGCCAGTATGGTGAAAAAAAGCACTGGAGATGCTAGAAATTGTAGTCAAAAACAACTGGGGCGCATCTCAGGAGCCCCCAGTGGCACAATGGGTTAAACCTCTGTGCTGACAGAAGGATCATTCTCCAAAGAGGGAAAAAGAGAGAGCACCACCCCAGGAGACTGGCCTCCACAATTTTTCCATCCATACATTCAAAAATGCCAGAAGTGGCACCAAGGAAATGTAATAGAGGAGGTTCGACTGGGACACAGTAAGTTCTTGCTTCCGCCACTTTGCTCGGAGAAGGAGGTGTTATTTTTTAAATAGTTAAGGTACGATACTTACATTGGCCCATGGATAAATTGACCCAGACTTTGGGGAGTCAATATTTTGACTAACATTTCTAGACGTATTCATGAGAATCTGCACTCGTCAAGATTCAAAGTCATGCAAACCTCTTCAGGGGCACATTATAAGCAGATGCAAAAAAATTTGCTACATTACTTTTGTGTGTGTTGCCATTGTTTTGGCAACAGCAGCTCACTCAGAAGCTATGCAATTTTAAGAAAGAACATTTGGAAAAATGAATGTTTATTGCACCTTGAGGCAGAAGAAAAAATAGTTCAGAGGCACACATATTTCTTGAACTATATTGTACTGAGTCAGTGCTACCAAGAGTTAGAATTATTTTATGGAGAGTTTATAGACTTTACAGAGAGACTAGAAATATTTTGTGGTTTCAGTAAACCCCCTTTTCCTGGAGTCAGAGATTTTGTAAGATTTATTCTTCACCTAAGACCTTGCCCATCATGGATATAGGCACTTTACAGCTTCAGACAGGAGGCAACGAAAGAACACCCAAAAAGATCCATCTGTTTTTCACATTTCTCGTGAATTAAATAAACACATGTTTGACCAATTACAAATTAACCATTGCATGTATTTTTGTTGATAATTTCCCAGTATGCATTTTCACAGAAAAAGTAAAGAGGGAACAACCTATGAGAGAGAAACAGAGAGTTCCTGACACTGGAATTTGTTAAAGCAACTGCAAAATCCACTGACAATATATGAAATATGATAGCAATAATACAGTAGTTTTCCACTCTTGATCTTCCAGATGTTTTTAACTAACTCCCCAAAGTCCCATTTAGGGATCATGGATTTTGGGAACTGAAGTCCAAAAATGGATGTGCAGTGGTTCTCAACCTGTCGTTCCCCAGATGTTTTTGGCCTTCAACTCCCAGAAATCCTAACTGGTAAACTGACTGGGATTTCTGGGAGTTGTAGGCCAAAAACATCTGGGGACCCCAGGTTGAGAACCACTGCCCTAAACGGTTCAGGGCCTGCCTATCTGCACAACCGCCTCCTCCCCTATGAGCCCACACGCTCCTTAAGATTCTTCCGGTGATGCTCTTCTCTCGCACCATCTCAGGCACGGTTGGTGGGGACGAGAGAGAGGGCACTCTCGGTGGTGGCCCCCTGTCTCTGGAATTCTCTCCCCAGGGAGATTAGGCTGGGGCCCTCTCTAGCCATATTTCGTAAGGAATTAAAGACGTGGACATTTCGTCGTGCTTTTGATTGACAACTCCTATGACAAACAGCATGTATCGTCATTTAATCTGATTTCCTATATTACATTGAATTGATTCTGATCCTGTTAATTTTTGCTCTGTTTTAATAATATTTCCTATGCTATTATACATTGTTATCCACCTTATTGAACCACCTTATCATTTAACCAACTCGCATAGTGTTCTTCTCCTCCCTCCTCCAAAATTAGTCTGCTATTACTGCTGTTGTTTGTTATTATTGTTATGCCATTTTTATGCTGTTTTTATGTTGTCTTAATTGTTATTGCTTTGCTTTTAATTGTATTCTGCCTGGGCTTGGGCCCATGTAAGCCGCCCGAGTCCCTCTGGAGAGATAGAGGTGGGGTAGAAAAATAAACAACTTCTTCTTCTTCTTCTGTATTAAAATAATAAGCTAGAAAATATGTAACAGCTACAATTAAACTGGGAGTAAGAGTCTCAGAAACAGCACTATAGCAGTACAGCTGTGAAGCCCTGCATGATTGGCAGGACAGAATTAACAGTAAGAGTAAATATCCCACTTTCCTCATCTTCCCAGGTCCAAATTCTGACTGGAGAAAGTCAGTAGAGCCACCGTGCTGAGATAAGCCGGAAGGGGATTTATTATTGGTGTGTGACACCAAGCCATTCCTGACTTATGAGGATCCTATCATGGTTTTTCTCTGAGATTGATAGTGTGTGATTCGCCAAAGGTCACCCGTTGGATTTCCATGGCTCAGTAGGGATTCAAACCATGTTTTCCGGAGTCATAATCCAATGCTCAAACTACTATGGCATCAAATCAAGTCCTCATCCACATGAGGCTGAAGCTTCCTCAAGGAATCTGAAGTCTTTGGGATGCTGTCTTGGGATCACAGATTGCAGTGTAATGGCTCTTTCAAATAAACATTGTAATTTACCAAACAACTGACCAAAAAAATACATAGAAAATGCCATTATGGGGCCTATTTCACATCTTGGGTGCCTCAAGGTTGAAGGCTCTGTCCCCACTATCCAGCTTCTAACCTCTCAATGGACAAACACTTCGAGCGGGGCATTTGGTGAATATCTTAGTAAAAAGACAGG